ATTGGCTTTGGCAAGCGAGTACTCATGCTTTTTAGCCATAAAAAAGCATGCCACCACAACAAATGCATGTGCCTAACTAAGGACAAGCAAAGTGTAGCTTCCAGTTCATATGAGCTATGGTCTAAACTCCTGGTATCCCCCTTAATAAGCCCTATAGTAGTCCTCTATATCATCCCCTATGTAACCCCCTTTAAGGAGTTTAGACTACAGCTCATATGGGGACCCCAATATAAAGCCCAACACACGATCATCTTTATTCTGGGGATTCCCCAGATTTTGGAAACTCCCACTTGGATGCAGCACGTCTAGCTTGACTTGACTCATGGGCTGCGGCCACAGGCTCATTTCCGGCTGTGATCCGTGTCTCGATGAGACCAGGTGCCACGCAGTTGACCCGAACAGGTCCGCAATTCTTTGCCAGCAGTCGGGTGAGCTGATGCATTGCCTCAAGCATACACTACGGAAGTACCTTGAAGTCTCTGCCCTTCCCTTGGATTTTCTGGAACGGCAGGGCTTGAGTACATCTTCGTCTCACTTGGAGTGTCCTCACATAGATGGACCTCTCCACCTGGGACGCTCGTCCACACACAACCTGGCCCAGAATTCGCAAATCCCAGCAAAAGGCCAAGAAAAAGGCAAGATGCAAGCGTGCGGTTTCCCAGAAGGACTGCCGCATATGCACCGACCATCTTTCGCAACAGAGAAAACCAGATCACAGAATTGAGGCGCTCTACCATGCTACAAGAGGCGTAGAACACATCCACATGAGTGCAACAATCATCACGGCCTTCGTGGCAAATGGGTCTAATATATGCACGCTTATATGGCAAATACCAGAAGGAACCCCGTGATCTCCTCTAACCCGAGTGGACAACAAACACATCTTCGCACCCAAATTCCCAAGGAACCCTATACGCAGTTTAGGGTTAGGTTTTAGGGGTTAGAAGCCTCTACCCATACATTCATGAAAACCATGATAACACCTGACCTCGTATGCATGTCAGCACCTCTGGACCCACTGAGCCGCTGGCAGCTCTCGACATGCCTGTGCAGGGAAATAGTATATAGGGTATATAGGGTATATAGGGGTTATATCATGGATTATTTAGGGGTTATAAAAGGGATATATTGGGGATATGTTGGGATAATGGAAAGAAAACGGAAACAACTATGTACAGGCCAAGGGTTGCTGGAAAAGGGTACCTTGATAGACCAGCATCCTCTCAACGGGAAGCTGACTGGAGTTTCCATGGCTATAGGGGAAAATAGACCCACAAAAAGCATTTAACGAGTTGAGGGTTTAGGGTCTGGGGCTTCGAATTGAAAGAGGCAAGGGCTTGTAAGATAAGACATAGGCACCACTCCCCATTTCCCACACTGCTAACACAGCAATGACAGTGATGATGCTTGTACTCCGCATAGCAGCAATGGCTGCCGGATCATGAAGTGGTTGGAGTATAACCTTCTTGTGTCCAGCTCTGCAGTCAAAGAACCACACTGAACCCCATATCCGACCCTCCACTAAACTAACATGGAACCCCATCAAGCCCTCTGTTCAAAGGACGGTAAAGCTGTTGTTAGGATTCCATGCTAGGATGTGGGAGGGTAGCTAATCTTTCTGGCTCTTAGCAGGAAATAAGGGAATATATTCCTTATATAACCCCTACATCATATATTTCCGTATTCCCTGCTAAGAACCAGTAAGTAGTTCTGATCTGCCCAAGCCGCTATAAGGAACACTGCTGCCCACCGGACGCACGCCAGCGACGGACCCAATCATGATGATTGAGCCATCCTTACCCTTCTTGAGGTGAGGCATCGCCTGGCGAAGCAAATGAGTTCTTTGCAAATGAGGTTTAGGGTTTAGGGTTTCAGGCTTAGGGTCCAGGGTTTAGGGTTCATTGGCAGAAACGTTTAAGGTAAACAGTAGCTTCTACAACAGGTAAAAACCCATTCAGGCCAGCAGCAGCCCGACTCAACCAGAGAGGTCCAAAGCAATTCAAGGCCTGGGTCGGTCGCACTGCAGCAAAAATAACATGATTCTGGTTTAGGTTGGGTCAATCCCCCANNTGGGTACCACAAGGTACTATTGTAGGTTTCTTAAGGCCCTATTAACTTCATATTAAGGAGCCATTACTATAGGGGGGATTGACCTAAGGTTTAGGTCAATCCTCCGACAATAATAGCCCCTAAATACGGAGGGAATAGGGCCTTAATGTACCTACAATAATTCTTTATGGTGCCCGTTACTGGGTAGGGGCTTGACCCAAGTTTTGGTAACCCCAAACTGCAAGACTAGTACTTAGAATGAATCGTTCACCATGGGTTCCTACTTTTGGGTATGGAGTGCCAACAACCTCTTATTGGCAAGGACGATGGGCAATGCACAACCACGGTTTGTCTGTAGCTGGGCGCTATGGTACGCCAATCAACTAAGGCAAGCGCAAAGATCTTGTGTATATACCTCGGCGGAGAAAGGAATTCTAAAACAACTCGCCCCCTCTATGTGTACACTGCAAAGTGCTACAACCCATGCTATATATGGACCAAACACAGGATCCCTACTTTCGGGAAATCCCCAGAAAGCTGACTCATGTTCGGCTGCATGCGCAAACTGGGCCTCAGGTCTCCCCGGTTGATAAAAGAATGCTTGTAATACCTGGTGCATACCATGGAATGAGGCCATGGAATGAGGTAAAGAACCCGTATGGCGGTCTCTAATCAATCCCTAAACCCTAAACCCCTAGCCCAGCCCCGATTCCGCATTTTGTTTCGTTCCCTGCTAGCCACAAACACTAAATCGCAAGCAACCCCGCAGTTCGGGCTACCTTTTCCTTTTCTTCATTGCCCAAAAGTCCGTCGACCCTATAGTCCCTACATAGCTGTGTATAATGGTTCCTACGGTTGATACTAAAAATCCTGCATGACCCTAGTATATACAAAACTATAGCTTCCAAGGCAGAAGGTACGTAGGGTCATGTAGGATGTTTAGTATCCACCGTAGAACCCTTTTCTCCATTCCCTACCCAGACCCCCTAAAGGATCCAAAAAATGGAGCCCTGCCAACATGAACCCATTTCTAGATTGGGGAAACTAGGTGATTACTAAACCCTAAACCCTATATACCCCTTTCTAGACCCCTATAAACCCCTTTAAAGGGTTCCATTTTTGGATCCTTTAGGGGGTCTGGGTAATAGAAGCACTGCAGATCTACGTGCTACCGTACGTTACCCAGCCCAGCGGCTGAAAGACTAGGGTTTAGGGGGAGCCAGAAAGGTCAGGGCCCGAAGTCTTCCAAGTTGGCTTTGGGGTACAGTCTATGAACCCCCTCCTCACAATCTTGAATCCGCCCTGATGTTGAATATTCCCAGTGTGGTATACTCAAGTATGTCGGTAATCTTAAATCTTAGGGGGTGCGGGGGGCGTTTCAGTTGGGGGAGGGTATTTCAGAAAATTTCAGTTATGTAGGGACTCCTAGGGAATAGATAGCTGAAACTCTAAACCACAAAGCGCGTGGCTCCTGATTCTCCAGGCTTCCACCCGGTAGTTGCTCAACATTCCTGTTCGTCCCAAAACGGCCACGCTGCCCCATATCTTCCTCATCACCCTAAACCGAAAAACCCTCAAAAAACCAGCTTCCCTATATGTTACCTCATCAGCCTACAGGCATCCTACATAGTTCTTCAAAGGACCTTTAGATGGGGGTTTCCCAAAATTAGGGGTACCTTATTGGGCTCCGGGCTCCCTCAAAAAAAAGGAGTACAGCTTTTTTGGGTCTATATTGGGGTCTCCGATTTAGGGAAACTACCAGATCAACTATCATATTAGGAATTCGCTTCCCAATCTCAGAAGCTTGCAGTTTCGGGTTTAGGGTTTAGGGTCCTTCTACTTGAGGCTTCATGCGTAGTCACAAGTGAGGTCAAAGGGACTATGTTGCGACAATCTAGGGGCCGAGTTGGCAAGCTACGGGGAGAGACCGATACTTCTTGAGCTTATGGGCTGTTATAAGTGGGGTGGGCTTAGGGTTCAAGGTGAGAGATATAAGTGCAGCTCGCCCACGAGTCGCTCACTTGTAACACAAAATCCCAGGTCTTCGTTTTCCCTTGAGAAGCCCTTTCAAATGTCATGTTAGATTCAATCTTGCATCTGGTACCTCGTTGATTCCAGCAGCTATGACTACCCATGGACCATCAAGTGCTAGACACAACTAACCACCGGAACCCTAAACGGTACAAAAAAGAGTTTTGCCTTTCCATTCTCCATAAGCCTCGCTCCAGACTACGCATAGAGAAGCGTCCCATCCTTTTTCTCCGCTATTGACTTCTTGCTAACCCTACAAAAAGAAGTGGACTAAGCCTGCATGCGCCTTTGGCGAGACAGGACTATCTTTCTAAAAGATCTGCGCTTCAAACATTCTGACAAGCTGCTGCTTGCCCGAGGCGAATTTGGGCCAAAACTGAATAGCCTCGGATCTTTAACCATAAGCTGGGGTATGAACTGTAGCTAGTTGACATGCTACTGGAGCATTTGACGCAAGACATGAGTTAAAGAGTCTGCAGGGGAAAGGCAGAAGAAAGTCTGTCTGACCAAGGGCTCAGTAAGGATAGATGAACACTATAGTAGTTTCCATTTCTTTTCCATTATCCCTACATATATAACCCCAATCTACTATAGTATATCTTTAGGGTTTAGGAACCTTGCTCGACCAACTGCCCGAGGTTAGGCTCAGACTTTGCTCACTTTAAAATCCCAGCGTCAGCGCCTTCAAATTTCGTGCATATGACAGCGGCAAACATAGGTTCCCGCACGTACAAAAACAAACATGGGTGGTTGTCAACATTGTGGTCCTTTTTTGGGTACCCTAAATATTAGGTGCTGTAATAGGATCCAAAAAGAGACCATAATTTTGACAACCACCCACATGCATCTTTAATTTTAAGAAAGCAATGGATGGCACACTATCACCTGCCCGCACAACTGAGGCTTGTTGCCTATCTTTTTTAGTCGCGCAGGAGAGGTACATCCTCATAGTTCAAAGCCCTCTTAAAGGAGGTCTGAGTGTTTGCCAGCATGGCCAACAAAACTTCTTGAAACTCGCTTGAGCGTATTCCTAGGTTCGCAGACTATGTTGTGGTCTAACACCTACTGTAACGTTTTCTTCCACTGTACGCCGCGTAGACGTACGAATAGAAAACGCGATAAGTCAAAACACCATCCCTACTAATCACGCAGCTATGGGGACAAGAAAGCAAGAAACAACACATCTACTTCTCCGCATCCAGGTTCCTGCCAGCGCCATAGAGGCGCAGAGCTTCGTGGTGAAGTTCATCGTGAGGAAGAAGAGCCGCTCTCCCCTCCATGGCACTATGCCCTCCAATCCTCGGTTTAGGGTTTAGGGTTGTTGAACGAAGATGAGAGTGACCTTCGTACTGTGGTCTTGTGATTCTTGCATTGCAAGACGAGTACAGGGGCAAGCCATGTTTCCAGGAGCAAATAAAACGCGAATACAAACCAGAAGCATAGAAGATTACTCGGGTCCTCTTGAGGCAAAGAGGAAACACCTCAAAGCACAAGCAGGTTCCTCTAACAGAATCAGGGATCTTCCAGAAACAGGTATTTTCTAATCCTGAATATAGGGACCCCTCAAAAGAGACCCCTACTTTTGAGCCCCCTAAACTCTGATCCCTAAACTCTGCAAATTCTCATAGAACCCCTAAACCCCCAGAACCCTTTGAAAGGATCCCCTAGTGTTAAAAACCCCCCAGGGCAACCAAAGAGATCGCCAAGCACAGGCCAGTATCTTCCAAGGTAGACGAGCCCATACCTGGAAACTAGGGGTATCTGTATATATATATATAGATATGTAATGCTTAGGGATAGTCGTACCTTTGAAAGGGCCTATAGGGGATGCATGGGGGTTATATACGGGTGACATATAAGGTGTAGAGATTAGGGTTTAGGGTTGGGGGTCTCCCAATATTAGGGGTACCGTTTGGAGGGTCCCCATGGAAGGGATTCTAGTATTGGGGCCTATTCATCGGGTTCCAACTTTTGGAAGCTGCCATACGGATATATCAGAATAGTAATCAAGTGGAAAAGAAAATGCAACATGAAATGGAAACTGCGTTTACATAGGGTTTGAGCAGGGGGACCTAATAAGTGGCTTAATAAAAGGGGATTCCTTGGGTTATGTGGCTTTTAGGGTTTAGGGGGTTCTAATCAGACGTACTTAGCCTCCCTGACCCTCCAAGTAGTAAGGGGCTGTTCAGGGCTTAGGCTTTTCCAATGTAGATTGGGTTGAGGTATGCGTACAACCAAAAAAATTAACTCAACAACCACCCAGGGGTATGGCCATTGAATGTTGTGGATACATCCCGAATACCCGTCCCCAATGACATGCCTGTAAACCCTAAACCTCCAACCCTAAGCCCTGAAACCTGAGACTGGGACCCTAGATCCTGCCTAAACCCTAAAAACCCTAAAAACCCTAAAGCCCTAACACCCTAAACCCTAAAATTGAAAGCCGAGATGCACGCCGAACACGATGATGAGCATGATGGCCAGGAGTGGCCGACCCAAAATGTGGCCTGGTCTTTTACAGTTTTAGGATTTGGGGCTTTAGGGTTTTAGGGTTTAGGGTGTAAGGGTTTGAGGGTGTAAGGGTTTGAGGGCTTAAGGTCCCTAGAGTGGGGGGATTGTCAAAAAGAATGATCGCTTTGTGTGCATTTCAAACGTCAGGGGCCCTACTGTTATGAGGACACATCAAGGGACCGGAAATGTGACAACCTGCCAAAGGGATTCAGGCAGGGATAGGGGCTTCGGCACGCACACCGCGCTGTAGGCACGATTAGAGTTGCAGGGTCCTGGTTGGCAACCGCTCCATCTGAAGCCCCACATTGGACACCAACTGTATACACTGACAAATATTCCTAAGAAACCCTGTACGTATACACTCACCAAAAACCCTAACAAAGATTCAAATCCTGCTAAACCACTACATAACCTCGGCTTCCATTGCGTTTAACACGTTCTCCTCCATGTGTTTCTCCATGATTCGGGTAACATCCCTAAACCCACGCACCAAAAGCCCATCATAAAACCCCTCCTCAAGTGAGGAACACAGGATCTCCCCAGGATACCAACGTAGTGGAGCACAATTAGGGTTGCTGCCACTTGCATGGCCGAAGCAACAATTAGGGTTTAGGGTTTAGGATTAAGTGTTTAAGTGTCTAGGGTTTGGGTTTATAGGAGAACCCATGAAACGAATCCCTCAAACACCCGCCACCCTCTGATACTGCGTGTCCCCCCCCAAAAAATGCCTAGATGAATGTCTATGTATCTGCGTAGATATGCAAGGCCTCTTATACCAAATATCTTGTGTTAGGGGTTGTTGAGGGGAGGCGGTGGTTGCATTGAGCGGGAAAGGTTTACTATCAATGCCATGTCTTCAAGCTTCTCCAGTACTACAATCATGCTTATAAGCCTTCGCGATCCAAACCCTTAACCTTCACCCCCCTTCCCCCCACTATCCAAAGAAGGCCAGAACAAGCCTGTAGCAGGACAATTCTGCCAAGATGCATTCGGGGTTTTCCTGCTTCCAGCGCTTCACCCAGACCTGGGTTTAATTGAAAAATGCTGAGAGGGAGAATCTTGAGGGGTTTACCTGTAACCCCAATTACCTATTGTTTTATGGGTTACACCTATGAATTAAGGGGTAGTCATTGCTGCAGGTAGGGCTTAAAGGGATTTTGGGCTTGACTCACTGCCTCGGGTTCGCCGACAGAGAATCTTCGTTGCTGACGAGATTTCGGTTATCAGAGCATCCGATTACCAGAGCATCCATGGTGACTCGCAGACTTGCGCAGCTTCTGCTACTTTTTTTATTACCAGTAAAACGCAGTCTTTTGGGAACCCTCATGCCAAAACATCGCACTCATGTTCGAGAGCGTCCGAGTACTGGAGCATCCATGCCCAGACCATAACAGCATATAATAGCGTTCATATTTGACGTCATCCCATTACCAGAGCATCCATGCCGAAACTATAATAGCATTCATAATCGACAGCATCCCATTATTGGAGCATCCATGCCCAAGCCGAATAACGTTTGTACTGCAAGTGCATCCCAGTACCAAGCACGCTGCGCCCAGCAGGACGATCTCTATGTCCTATACCAATTGGCTGACTCAATCTTCCGCAGCTTCGCTTTCAGCCACGTTAACCCGTAAAACGCAGCATGTCGGCAACCCTCCTGCAAAAACACTGCGCCCAGTGGGATGAACTCTATGTCCTAGCATATCATACCGACATCGAATGCCGAAAAATGGCTGACTCACAGTCTTCCGCAGCTTCTGCTGCAGCCACTTTAATCGGGAAAACGCAGCATTTCGGATACCCGGATGCAAGAAAACCGCGCGGAGTGGGATGAAATGCATGTCATATACAGCCATGTCAAGATGGAAAGGAACCGAATGCCAAGTTTTTGCACATTTCAGGCTTCATCGAATCCATTCCACGGCCATCTTGCACGCAACATGCCGCATTCCACAAAAAATCCGCTTGGCTGACTCCTACCGGAAGCTTGCCCTAAGAAGTCCGGTAAATCTCTTGTAAATTGAAATGCGTTCTGCTCTTTTCTAGTCACATTCCTTGGCAGCGTTTGGTGTCGGAGAACCCTAGTCGGAGAGCGTTAGGGTTTAGGAGTATAGGGCAACTGCTTAAGGGTGTTTGGAGTTTAGGGCTTCAGGCATTGGGGATTGTGGGGCCACCTATGCTGGATCTTATAATGCTGGCACTTTCTAGGAAGTAACCATGGCCAACGTTTCATACTAATGCAACTCCCCAGGCGTCTGTCATTTTGGGGGTTCTTTACTGATATAGCGGATCTTATAAGCCATACTCCATGGTTTAGGGACCCAAAGCCATGGGTACAAACCCTAAGGTTTCAAACGAAAACTTCCCAGAACAATGGCCCACAGGCAATCATATCACGCGATGCCCGGAAGTACATCAGGAAAGAAACCTCAGCTGGCAATGGGTTTAGGGTGGTTATACAGGGATACCATGGTATATAGCAGTTATGTTATAAAGGGGTGATACCGGATTCCATAGAAATTTTTGCTTTTCTGCAAATGTCACGGAAGCCTTCCGCTCAAAACTTGAGGCGGGCCGCAAATGGGCTTTTGGAGAACCTGCCCTAAACACTAAGTTCAGAACTTTCGACCTTGCTGTCTGCTAGGGTCTAGGGTTTAGGGTATGAAGGAATGGAAAGAACACGGCAAACCACTACATTCTGCGGGGCTCCTTAGGATCTAACTTGGGGATCCAATCCTCCATTCCCTACTCAAAACCAGCAATAACTCAGCAAACTGAGGAACGCATACCACTGTGTACCGCATGGGGACACTGGGAATGAAGTTTGCGCTCCACGCAAAGACCATGTAGACATTGGTTATGACCAGTGGCTCGGCCACTTCCGGTCCGGGTCGGCCAAGGGCGCATGTTCCGGCGAGGATTAGGAGAATTGGGACATTAATCAGCCACTCAGCATAGAAGACAGTGTATACCGGCAGTCCATCCAAATCCTCTCGGCCAACTGAGGCTGCATGCGCAAACCAAGTTTTGTGCCCAATGAAGAAGACCATGTTTTCCTGGGTTGCTGTCAAAGTTCGTGGCCGTTGTAGGGAGGCAGAATTATTTTCCAGTGACCTAATCAGAGTCCCTGTCCTATATACCTGCATTATGGTAACTTCAATTAAGTCCCTTAACAGCAGCCCGGTTTCGACAAGGAGTACAGCAAAGGTAGTGCAAAGGAGCGCTGATGGGAGCAGTGACTCTCGGATATTTGGGATAAGGTGGATGGCTTTCCTAGCTGTCCTGTGTGTGAGCACGACGGATACCAGCTCATGCAAGAGCACCTTGCTTGTGGTTCGTAGGTAATGAAGGGCTGGGATATACAGATGATGACAAGGGATATTGTAGCACGAACTAGAAGCATCCATCCCTCCCACTCATACTTCGCAAAAAGCCTTAAATAATGTACGCGTTTCCACTGCCTGTTTCATTCTGCATTTCCCAATCTTAAGCTACTAATCACCGTGAGGCACTGCAGTCAATGCCGAGGCAATATATCGACTATAGGGCGCCAATTCTGCAGAGCCTTGATGGCTCAGCTCGCACTTCCTTACTTTGGGTTGGCACCTAAACCCTAAACCCAAAAAAAGATCGAGACCACTACGCTGCTCAGGGTTGAGTGCTTAATCGGGAGTGGAGGAATGGCCAAGTAGAACATAGGCGTTCTTTTGGGGCTTGTATTGGGTTTAGGGTTCAGGGTTCAGGGTTCAGGGCTTAGGGTTTGAGGCTATAATGGGATAATGGAAAAGAAAACGGAAACTACTATAATTTAGGGTAAGAATTTGCAAGCTACAACGTTGCTTCTTGAACCTGAGTGTTAAAGTTGGGCCTCGGTAGGGAGTGGAGAAGTGGACAAGAACATCAATAAAAACTACTACATCATTCATTGTTCATTAAGCCTTAGGGCTTAGAGCTGTGTAGGGAATGGAAGAATTGCAAATAAAGCGGAGCTGCCGATACGCTACTTTGGGTTCAGGGCGTAGGGCTTTTTAGATAATGGCAGACTACAATCCCACATGAGTTATAGTCTAAACTCCTAGTATCCCCCTTAATAATGAAGTGTATAAACGCGTTCCGTGCATTCCCCAACTAACCACCAGCAAGTATCTCCAAGGAAGAGCAGACCACAGGCCGCGTGAGTGCGTAGCATAGGCTTACCACCAGCCTCAGCCCAAAATGGCCGCAGGAAGACAAACTGATCCTTCTTAGATAGATATAAGGCATCCCATACCCCCCCAAAGCACAAAGGATCTCTAACATGAATCCAGCAGCACCGTCACCACAACCCAAGTGACCTTGCGACTGAGCAATTGTCTGATCATGCCGATGTCGCTCATCTGGTCCTTCTGAGCCGCAATCCCGGAGTTCAGGGAATCGTCCAGCCCTGACGCTCCGAACACTGCAGGATCTGCACCCCTTCCATTGGGAATTTCGGGGTCCGGCAGTTCATCAGGTTCTGATCGCGGCTCTGGCACAACTGGATGCTTCTTCATGGCCTCTTTTTTGGGGGCTACCTTGGCCTGAGACAACAGTCTTTGAGCCCGGAGCCGAAAGTATCACGGCATGTACCTGTCTGCCACACAGACATTGAAACGTGCTGATATTATACCCGCAACAAGGGTCCTATACGTGAATGTGGTAGGGTCGGGGCACTACCCAAAAAACGCAACCATCATCACCAGGGCTTTGGAATAGCAAGTTGAAAAGCAAATTTGTCACACATGCATGGCAACAACCTTATCCTTTCCATTGGATTTAAGGTGGGCCTGAGTAAGTGATTAGACGCGAGCTGCGGGGTATGCCACGCTGCAGCAATAATCACCAAGTAGGTTTCTACGTGAAATGCTAGTTGCCGGCAAGCCACTACATAATCCCTGTTCTCATGTTATTTTCAATGTTCTGTATCCATTTAATTCTCCATTCTAGGGGAAAACATCCCCTAAAAAACCCTGAACCCTGCACCATACATACCTCTATAAGCAGCGAAGGGGCTCGTCATCAATTAGCTCCAGCTTGTCGTGGGGTATTACCTTTCCGACGCCAGCATTACCTACAGCAGCGTCAGGGTGGGATTATGAATAGGGTTTAGTTTAGGGACTAGGGTTTAGGGGGCGTCAGACTGCTTTTATGCGAGTTGTTTCCAGAAAGTAAGACTTTTTTTTGGGGTCTCTACATTTGAGGGCTGGTTGTGGCATACAGGGCACTTAGATATGGAGGACCCCTATTCTTGGAAATCCCAATGTCATGAATAGAACGCATGTCCGGAGCCCCGGAGAAAGATTACCAACGAGGCTTCTACAGGAAGTGAATATACTCCCCGTTTCCATCTCATTTTCCATGACTTTTTTGTTTTCCATTCGATTCCTCTGCATTAATTGCGTAATATTGTTCCTAATGCTCACAAGTCAAGCCACAAATGAGAAGGTCCAGCCGGCCGCAACGCTTGATGACCTCCTCCACCAGTCCCTCGCAGCCCTCGCGCTTGCCTTACTGGTGCTTGGGAACGAATCAGATATGTTCCCTAGATATCTCTAGATAACATGAGTATTCGTTTCTTCCCTACTGTAAACCCTAGACCTTGGGTCATTCCCCCTCCCAGTAACTGTCCTTAAAAAAGCCTTATTAAGGGGGTTCTTATAACTCCTATAACCCATTGCGGCAACAGGGGGAATGACCCAACCTAAACCCTAAACCCTAAACCCTCAACCCTAGACCCTAAACCCTTATTCCCTGCCAACCCCCAGCAAGGTGCTGCAGTCCGCGCGGATATACAGCGCGCCGGGCAGCGATGCTGCCAAAGCGGTTCCTTCTTCCACCGTGCTGTGGCCTTGTCTTTCAGCGGTTGAGGGGCGGGTTACCTGGAACCCAAAAGTAAGCAAAATGATAACCCAAAACCCCTAGAAATAGCCCAAAAGGCCATTATTCTGTATACTTTTGGGGTTCAGTTAAGGATTTAGGGAACATCACCCAATCTTGCGCTTGCAAATCCAACTCCGGGTGAAATCCCTTAAATTATGTCCAATAGGAGGGGAGTTGCAGAGCTCATTAGCTGTCCTGGATAATTTTGGCCAAGCTTTGCAAAATTAACGCCCGCCCACCCTCCCCCCCCACTTATCGGGCTTCGATAGTAGAGCGTTCAGACGAAATAGCCATTAAAGTACAGAGTAGCTGACTAATGCTATCATCCTACATTCCGTACTTGTTTGGAAACCTTCAAAGGTATTCTGCACATATGAAAATGAGTTGGGTCTCAGTCTCAGCCATGGGCCCTTGTGGGATGTTGGCGGGTAACATAAGGCAAGTCCATGTGAGCAATCCAAACTAGGGGCCAGAACCAGGCTCAAGGTCCCAAACTTACTAAGATATATGCATATAGATAACAGAACGTGATCAGAAACAGCTAAATCCACAGCTGTCTCTATCTCTACCTCACTCACTCTTTTCTCGCTAGCCCATGTGATTGGACACGAATTGCAGCAGACTGTCTTTGCCATCGGCAATGTCGTGGAGCCGTACTTAGTCCCATCATGTCCCACCGCCACCACCACCGCCGCCGCGACCACGACCACAACCGCTAGCACCGGCACGACCACGACCAAGACCACCACCACCACCACCGCCGCCGCCGCCGCCGCCACCACCACCACCACCACCACCGCCGCCACCGCCACCGCCACCGCCACCGCCACGGCCACGGCCACGGCC